TATTATTATAGTTTCTCTTCTTCTAGTTGCTTCATTAAGTTTTCCATTCTCTTTGTGATACAACAGATGTGGGCTAATCCTGTTCCAATAATATTTAAACATCTTTTATAAACATTAACTAGTCCAGTAAAGGGTAAAACTTTCAGGTTGAGTTATGGTCTTCCTCTTTGTTCTACATTTGATCAACGCATTAAATCATTTTTAGCAGTAAGACAAACATTAAATAGCCAAAACTCTTGGTTTCTAGTCAGAGTAGTTTCTTTGATCTTAGAGAAATCAAATCGTTTACATAAAACTATATTGGTGTTACCTTTTTCCATTTTTACTAATTTAGTTCGACATCTTCCACAAATTCAATTTAAAAAATGGTTATCATCTCTATAATGAATAGCCGAATCAATATTATTATTATTATTAATAGTGCGCATAGTTACGCATTGTTACGCCTATTGTTCGTTTTGTTAATAACGGTTCTACATTATGTAAAGTACACTATTTCTTTGCTTCTAGAATTTTCTGAGAGCAGTTATATATTCCACGCTGTCATTCGAGTAAAATCAGCAACCAAATAGGAGTTGATACACTTATTTTCAAGAAGAATTAATGTTGTTTATTTTTTAAAATAAAAATTTAAATAATTACTAGTTTGTTATGTATATATGTATATGTGTATATCTATATGTATTTTCTCTGAGTAAAAATAATTAAGAATAGAAAAATAAAAAAAATTTCTTCTGGAATTTGTCAAAAGGGTGTTGTGTTATTCTTCATTTTAAGGTATCTAAATATGTATTTATTTTTTATTTTTTAGAATAAGTTAGAACTAAATTGACTGGTAAAATAGTTTTTTTAGTACAATGTTTCTTTGTTAAGAAAACAGTTTTGTCGTTAGTCTTTTTAAAACATTTTAGGCAGTATTTGTTTTATTTTTTGGAGCAGTTAAGAGGAGCTATTTTAGTAAGTTCAAGTTTTTTTCTCATACATAAATTAAGATTTTCGATTTATTTCAGTTTATTTTATATTTCTCTATATCTACATATATATATTCTTTAAGGAAAAATAATAAGGAACAAAAAAATAAGGAAAATTTCTTCTGGAATTTGTCAAAAGTGTGTTGTCTTATGCTTCATTTTAAGGTATCTAAATATGTATTTATAAGAAATTTTTTTAAACCAAGTTTAAAAAAGTTGTTAAACCAAGGAAATTGCAGAGGTTTGTTTATCAATATATACTATAAATTATATAATAATATTGGAGGGAGTAAGTTAAAAAGCATTTTTAAATTTTTAAAAAGAAATAAAAATACTTTTCAATATATATCTGTTTTCTTTGAGGTAGATTTAAATATATAGTTATATATATATATATATATATATATATATATATATATATATATATATATATATATATATATATATATATATATATATATATATATATATATATATATATATGTATATATATATATATATATATATATATATATATATATATATATATATATATATATATATATATATATATATATATATATGTATATATATATATATATATATATATATATATATATATATATATATATATATATATATATATATATATATATATATATATATATATATATATATATATATATATATATATATTTAACTATATATATCCCTTGGAGTTGCGGCAGCATAATAGTGTGTTAAGAGAATAAAATTTAAAAACCCGCGTTATTAACCTGTTTTCTATCGTACATAATGCATTATTAATGCATTAATAAGTTTTATTACGTGTTTTGTTCAATGTTTTTTCCCAACGCATGAAATATGACGCTGTCGCAAATTTTTTTTTTTTTTATCAGAAATAAAATAAGTTTTAATAAGCTTTTGCTGATGTGGTTGCAGGTTTTTCTTAACTTCTATCAAATAAACTTAAAAAACCTGTATTACTTTTGATGATGGCAAATTAATTTTATTTTGCATTTGTTTGGTTTCTTTATATATATTTGTTTCAAGAATTTTTTTTTTTAATTTTTTGAGTATGATTTTTTTAGTTATTAAGTTTTTTTATTTTATTGTTAACTGTAGACTAGTAAAAAAAAAGAAATAATTAGTGTTGCTTTGATAAATATGTTTAATGAAAATGATGACATTGAAATGGATGATAGGCTAGAGGTAGTTTTGTATTTACAAGATAATGTAAGTGCTCTAAGCTGTGTTGAAAATAATCGTAGACGAAATGAAAAAAATAGACTTAGGCGAGATGAAATTAATTGTTTACAAAATGAAAGAAATAGGCTCGATCGAGATAATGTTAATCGTCGCCAAAATGAAAGAAATAGGCTCGATCGAGATAATGTTAATCGTCGCCAAAATGAAAGAAATAGGCTCGATCAAGATAATGTTATTCGTCTCCAAAATGAAAAAAATAGGCTCGATCGAGATAATGTTAATCGTCGCCAAAATGAATGAAGAGCTGTTGCACAAGGACGAATGTATTGTATAGCGAGAAGTAATGCTTTTCCAGAATATAATTATTTAGGAGAAATGAATTAAATTTGTCAGCACTGTGGTGCTAAGAAATTTCCAGATGAAACACATTTTCTATGTTGCCATAATAGTGAGGTAGCTTTGCCTCCACTTTCACCAATTACACAAGCTTTACAAGATTTGTTTACAGGGAGTTATGTAGATCGTAATGCTAATGCTAATTTTTTAAAAACGTATTCGAAATTATAATGCCTGCCTTTCTTTTGCTTCTTTTACAGCAAATGTAGTTCAACCAATGAATCATGGGCTTCCATGTTTTAAAATATGTGGCCAGATTTTTCATTGTGTAGGTAATCTTAGGCCAGATCAAGATATTCCACTAATATATTCTCAACTATATATTTATGATCCACTTGCTGCACTAAATTTCAGAATGCAACGCTGTGGTAATGATCTTTGTTTACGTGATTTAATGTTTCAATTGCAAACTATAACTATGGAACAAAGTCCATTTGCTCTTGCATTTAAAAACATGGCTGAAGTAGAAGATGAAGAAATTCGTAAGGCGGCTATAGAAGGTTGCTCAGCTTCTGTTGTAAAAATGTCTTTACTTGAAGGCGGTGATAGACGTCGTTATAATCTACCTTCACATGATGAAGTTGCAGTTGTACTTGTTGGCGAAGATGGTGCTCCGCCAACTTCCAGGGAAGTTGTTATTTACCCAAGAGGTCATCCTTTAAAAATTGTATCAAGTATGTCAGCCAACTTGGATCCTATATTTTATCCGCTTTTTTTTCCAAGAGGTGATGCTGGTTGGCATAATCAATTGGTGCATAACCCTGAGCGTGTCACACTGGTTAGAAATCATGTTACATTATCTCAGTTCTACAATTATAGACTTTCTGTTAGGCAATTTTTCTGTTCATTATTTTATTGCAAGAAACTATTTCAGCAATAATAGTAGATGCATATGTAAAAATTGAAAGCCAGCGTCTTGCTTTTATCAGAAATAATCAAAATAAGCTGAGAAGCGAGCAGTACGATGCCTTACATGAACATATTAACAACATTGTCAATGATCGTAATATTAGACCAGGACGAGTAGTAGTTTTGCCATCATCTTATGTAGGAAGTCCTAGAGCTTTAAAAGAAAACTTTGAAGATGCTATGGCAATTATTAAAAAGTATGGTAAACCAGATCTTTTTATAAATTTTACTTGCAACCCAAAATGGCGTGAAATAACAGAAAATTTATATCCGGGTCAGAATGCGAATGATAGACCTGATTTGGTTACTCGAGTATTTAAACTCAAGTTAAATAACCTCCTCAATGATATATTCAAACATGGTGTATTAGGCAAAGTTATAACGCATGTTCAGGTTATTGAGTTTCAAAAGCGTGGTTTGCCGTATGCCCACATTTTACTTCATTTAGCAAATGATGATAAACTTGAAACATCACAGGATATCGATTATTTGATTTTTGCAGAAATTCCAGATCCGATAGTTAATTGTGAACTTTATGATATTATCAAAACTTGCATGATTCACGGCCCATGTGGGATACTGAATCCAAATTCTCCCTGAATGAAAGATGGGGTGTGCAGCAAAAATTATCCTAAAGATTTTAATGCCAACACAGTAGCTGTTCACAATAGTTAATCGCGCTATAGGCGTCGTGATAATGGGTTGGATATCAATATTAAAGGCAACAATGTAGATAACCGTTGGGTGGTACCTTTAAATCCTTGGTTATCAAAGAAATATCAAGCCCACATTAATGTTGAAACTTGCATGTCTGTAAAGGCTGTTAAATATTTGTTCAAATACATATACAAAGGGCATGATTGTGCGAATGTTTTGATAAATGAACAGGTTAATCGCGATGAAATAAACACTTTCTTAGATTGTCGTTATGTTAGTGCACCTGAGGCACTGTGGCGAAAATTTGAGTATCCCATAAGTCATATGTCACACACTATTATCCGTCTTAAGGTTCATCTTCCTGACAATCAGATTGTGTATTTTAGAGAAGGCGCAGAACAAATGGCTTTAGATCGTGCTGCTCAACGTGATACACACCTTACGGCCTGGTTTAAATTGAATTCTGTAAATGGAGGAGCCCATCGCTACTCATATGTTGACATTCCATATCACTTTGTATTTGATGATAAACATTGTAAATGGAAGGTTAGACAAAGAGGTGGAAATAAGGTGATAGTAAGAATGTATAAAGTTAGTCCAAGAGGAGAATTATTTTTTTTTAGATTGTTACTTTTACAAGCAAAAGGAGCAACATCTTGGGAGGATTTGCGTACTGTTAATGGAATAGTTCTTGAAACCTTTCGTTAAGCGTGTGTTTTTAATGGTTTGTTGCAAGATGACACTGAATGGCAGAATACTCTTTCTGAGGCAGTTTTAACGCGAATGCCTAAGCAAATCAGGCAGCTGTTTTCAATTATTTTAACCTTTTGTGAACCTAATGACCCTTTGCATCTTTAAAATTCATACAAAGCTTTTATG